GTGAAGTTTTGTTCTTGTCACCCAGGCTGGAGTGCAATGGTGCGATCTTGGCTCACTGCAAACTCCACCTCCTGGGTTCAAGCAATTCTCCTGCATCAGCCTCCCAAGTAGCTGGGATTACAGGCACCCACCACCACGCCTGGCTAATTTTGTTATTTTAGTAGAGACGGGGTTTCCCCATGTCGGTCAGGCCAGTGTGGAACTCCTGACCTCAGGTGATCTATCCACCTCGGCCTCCCAAAGTGCTGGGATTACAGGCATGAGCCACCACATCTGGCCTGAATTTCTTTCTTTAAAACGACCTATTTTATAAAACTAAATACAAAACAGCATTCTACTGAGAAAATATATTATCATAATATCACTAGTGAAGGTTGATTACCTTAGTCACCAAATAATAAGGTTGATCTTTAAAGTATCTTACCTATTCCTAAAGAAGATGAACCACTATCTCTGATTGTAATAAGTCAGCTGTTTACTTATCAAATGTGAAATTATATAAGAATAGTTGTAAAATCTAAAACCAAAGTCCTGAAGAATAAGGATTGTAAAGGTTAGCAAAAAGAGTAATTAAATCATATTGGTAAATAAGCAATTGTAATTAGTCTTCAGACCATGAAAACATTTTATATATAAGGACTTTTTATCATTCATAAATGTTTAGCATTAGCATTCTTTGTAGTTTTCAATCATTAAAATGTCACCAATCCTAAATTAGTTACCAATCAAATACTATGTTCTATAAAACCTAGGGCAATGAGATTTGTGACAAAAGAGAAACAGTCCTTACTTTTCTCGTAATCTTTGAAGCTCCACCTTCAAGTCCTCATCCTCTATTTCCGATTCATCATCACTGCTCATTGGGGAAGATGGTGAATAGAAGAGTGAGCTCTGTGTTTGAGCATAAGCTTGTTCTTCGTGGTGGGGTAAGCACTGATCACTCTCTGGACCAGTTTTTGCTCCTGACTTTCCACTGCCAGCAAGACTGGCTGAAAATTCACTATCGGAGCTAGGCTGTTTCCCAGCAGTCGGCATCTCTTTCTCTTTAAGCAATGGTTCAGATCCAGACTGTATGCTACTTCCTGTGGCTGGAGTTTCTTCCAATTCCTTTTCTGGGGTCACTGAAGATACATCAGTCTCACAAGCTGTGCTGAAAGATAAGAAGTTGTCACCTTGTTTGGGAACTCCTTTATTTTCTTTACAGGTTTCATGAAGGGCTTGTAACTTCTCAGAAGAAAATGAAGTTTTTGGATTGTGTGTGGCAGTTTCTATTTCTACCAACTGAGACTTTGCTGTTTTAATAAAGGCTTCTTCACTAGAATGATTCGTCTCACTGAACACTGATATGTGTTCTATTCCAAAAGATGTCACTTTTGCTGACTGCTGCTGAGGAACTGTAATCACCTGGGATACAAAAAGGTAAAAGTAGTTAGAATAGGACAGAGAGGTAGATGGTCTGCTATTTATTGATACTAGCAAAACTTATGTATAGCCCCAAATTCAGTCTTTCAATCAGGCCCCTTGGGTAAAGAGAGTGGGTGTCATATTGCTCAAATAAAATTCCACAATTAGAGCTACTGAGATTCTAAAGTACATGAAATTACATTTATGAAAGAGGACCCACCCGCCCACCAAAAAAATGATAACCTATTTCTGTGCTCTTTTCCAGCTACCAAAATCTCCTTTTTTTTTTTTTTTTTTTGAGACGGAGTTTCACTCTTGTTACCCAGGCTGGAGTGCAATGGTGCGATCTCGGCTCACCGCAACTCCGCCTCCTGGGTTCAGGCAATTCTCCTGCCTCAGCCTCCTGAGTAGCTGGGATTACAGGCACGCGCCACCATGCCCAGCTAATTTTTTTTTGTATTTTTAGTAGAGACGGGGTTTTACCATGTTGACCAGGATGGTCTCGATCTCTTGACCTCGTGATCCACCCGTCTCGGCCTCCCAAAGTGCTGGGATTACAGGCGTGAGCCATCGCGCCCGGCTTTTTTTTCTTTTTTGAGATGGAATGTCACTCTTGTTGCCCAGGTTAGAGTGCAATGGCGCGATCTTGGCTTATCGCAACCTCTGCCTCCTGGGTTCACGTGATTCTCCTGCCTCAGCCTCCCAAGTAACTGGAATTACAGGCATGCCCCACCATGCCCAGTTAATTTTCTATTTTTAGTAGAGATAGGGTTTCTCCATGTTGGTCAGGATGGTCTCGAACTCCCAACCTCAGGTGATCCACCCTCCTTGGCCTCCCAAAGTGCTGGGATTATAAATGTCAGCCACCGCGCCTGGCCCAAATCTCCATTTCTTTAGACTCATCTTTACTACTGATGGCTTCAAAAGGTGAGGGGATGCATGCAAGGTGAACAAATTAAATATAACAATGATCTACATTTAAAGAAAGTATCATCTACAGACCAAGATCTCCAGTGGCTATTACATTTTATAATGCCCTTGTAGATAAGGATTCAATCAAAGACACAAACCTGGAACCGACCCCGCTGAAATGATCCACTCATCGCTTTACATCTATTCAAAGCCCTAGTATCATCTGTGGACTCCCGTGTCAGAGGAATGGGATCAGGAGCAATTGCTGATCTCATCTCTTCTGTTTCCACTGCAAGTTTTGCCAAATAGTAAGTGGAAAAGAGAAAATTATTTGTTAAGACTAAATTTGTTTACATTACCAAAAATGAAGAAAAGTAGAAAAAGCTTAACTCCTGCTAGACAATTAAAAGGTGTTAATGTAATACGCAACATTGTATAAGTCCCTAAGTCTAAATCAGACATTGCAAGATTTATCCCAAGACTTAGTATCTATATGAAATGAATAACTGGAAAACCAAATTAGTTACAAAAGGAAAAAATAAAATGGCAATGACATTAATGGGACATGTCACATACATGGGCTATGTGGAAAAAGTGGCAAGATTTGTGTATGAACCAAAAAAAAAATAAGTAAATGAAAAGTGATGTTACCTAGTCTATGTCCCTGACTGTAAGCACACTACCTTGACGGACTTTTGATCTCTTGAAAAAGCTGGTTGACTGCCGTAGCCTGTATGCCCAGCTTTTTAATTTGCGAGTCCAGGATTTCTTGCTAATAGGATTTTTGAGACTAGGACAAGTAAAGCTTAGGCCAAAATATCCACCTCCTGTCTGCAGATGAATGGCTCCACCGCTTGACACAGCAGCAGGATAGGCCTCTGGATCCCCTGGAAGTGAAGCATCTGAGGACATCTCCTAATGGAGACAAAAAATAAAAACAAACAAAAACAAAAACAAAAAAAAAACACAAGAAACAAGAAAAACCAAAGTGGTAATAATTTAGGTAAGGTGAAGCTTTTTTTTTTTTAAATAACATTGGAATTTCTTGTATGGACTAATCTTTAACCCAAAATAAGATATTTATTATGTATATAGTTACATTAATAGTAGGATATCAGACTGAACCTGAAGTATTCAATTTTTAAAAATTAAGCCTTTTTCTTTCTTTAAAAATATTATTTAGACTTTAGTAGATAAAAGAGATTATTAATCTTCTAACTCAAATATTTTTCATCATTATATCAACTTTGAAAACTTAAAATCAAATTAAAATTTCCTTCATATGTGCCAGTTTAATAAAAGGTTACTAAAACTCCTTGCTATTATCATGAAAATTTTCATATATGTCCATATGATTTAAAAGACTTTGTTAAAGATATATAAAGGACATCAAAATTACTTCAAAATCATGCTCTATAAATTCTTGTTAGCATCAGGCTATGCTGGCTATAAAATCACTCCCCTCTTCTTGTCCTACTCCCCACAAAAAGGCCCCTGATTTAACTGTTGTATCTAAATGAGTGCTTTAAAAATAAATCCCCCATAATAACTAATATGAAAAGTTAGTACAGACAACCAGAAATGCTTTGGGAAACATGAGAAGGGTGACTACTAATCTAGAAGATTAAAAAAATATATAAAAGCACAAAGAATGGGATTTAGCATTTGCCTGAAGGAAGATAGCCTCTATGGCAGTAAGTATGATGTCTTGGGGAAGCATTATTAATACTTAGGGCAGGGCCAGGTGCAGTGGCTCACGCCTGTAATGCCCACATTTTGGGAGGTTGAGGCAGGTGGATCACCTGAGGTCAGGAGTTCAAGATCAGCCTGGCCAACATGGTAAAATCCTGTCTCTACTAAAAATACAAAATTAGTCTGGTGTGGTGGTACATGCCTGTCATCCCAGCTTCTTGGGAGGCTGAGGCAGAAGAACTGCTTGAGAACCTGGGAGGCGGAGGTTGCAGTGAGCTGAGATTGCACCATTGCACTCCAGCCTGGGTGACGAGAATGAAACTGTCTCAAAAAAAAAAAACCAAAAAAACCTTAAGGCAGGTCAGGACATATTAAAAATAAAATTACCCAGAAGAACCAAGACTTTCAGAGATGCAAAAGAGAAAAAAACATTGTGAGCAATCAGTTTTTATTTTCTGAAGTCTCATTTTAAACTAGTAATAATCAGTTTCACGAGGAGAAAAAAAGAAGTATTACAATTTAGAAAATGTTACATTGGTCCCACTGAAATTACAGAAAAGAATTTTAATATGTAGGACCTGGATCAAGATGGCAAATTAAATATTTGTTCTAGCCTTCCTTATCAATCCAAATTTACAGACACAACAGGAAAATAGATGTAGACACATGAATATACGACTGAAGGAGGAAAAAGCAGACCATGACACATGTAGGAATTGTTTCAAAATGCTGTAAACTTGGGTGGCTGATACAGGCAGTAGGAGAGAACCCTGGCCAACCAAAAAGATGAGTGGTGCTTACAAAACTCTATCGGATCTATCTTCTGTCTCTTTCAATGTTATCTTTTAACACTCTCCTGTTTGCTGGCCTTCTTTTGGTTCCTTGAACAGATCTCTACCTGTGCCTATCACCACCACATACCAGTCCTTCCTTGACTACCATATAGAGGTTTAGTATCCATTTTCTTCTACTAGAATGTGAGCTCCACAAAAACAGAGGCTTTGGCTTATTCCCTGCTAAAGAGATGTTCAATGAATGAATGAACTGGTTGGGATAACGAAGAAGGAACAGGCAGGCAGTTCTGTCCCTTCCCTCCCAACCTACACACCAAGCAAAGGACAGTAGAGGCATGTGCCCCCAAATAAGAGTAGTAAGAGGAAAAGGTCTGTGGCCAAGACAGGTCAACAATGTAGGGAGGAGACAACACCCAGGAAGAAAGGTAAGCCCTCCTACCTTTGGGGACTAGCTAGTGGGCCACTCTCTAGGCAGTATCAGAGAAAAGTTACAAAATACAGTGTCAGGAAGATGTCCAATACCTTTCCCACAATTATTGAAGGAAGGTTACAGTAATTATATAAAGTCCTTACAGACAGATGAACAAGGAATCTTATGAGTGAAAAAGAAGAGAACTCAACTAAGCATCATTAAACATCTAGGGAAAATTAACATTATAAGAAAATACTAAAATCACCAAACAGAACAGCCAAGGAAATACCATTAATAACACAGATTAAGACTTTAATATCTTCAGAGAGATGTGTGAATATACTATGTCTATAAAAAGGAATGAACTATAATTAGTAGAAATTAAAATATAATACTTGACAAATAGCTGAATAGGAGATGCAACAGGTTAAAAATTGAGAACTTATCCCAAAACAAAACGAAAAAGGACAAACAAATGGAAAGCATGAGAAGTTTATAGATAGGAGCCAGGTGCGGTGGCTCATGCCTGTAATCCCAGCACTTTGGGAGGGTGAGGCAGGTGGATCACCTGAGGTCAGGAGTTCCAGACCAGTCTGGTCAACATGGTGAAACCTCATCTCTACTATAAATATAAAAAATAGCTGGGCATGATGGTGGGCACCTGTAATCCCAGCTACTTGGGAGGTTGAGGCAGAAGAATCGCCTGAACCTGGGAGAGAGGTTGCAGTGAGCTGAAATCATGCCACTGCATTCCAGCCTGGGCGACAAAAGTGAGACTCCACCTTAAAAAAAAATGTTTATAATTAAGAAAAATAGGAAATGAAGAAATAAAACTATCTCTATTCATAGTTGACATGATCTTATATATAGAAAATCCAAAACAATCCACCAAAAGTTATTAGAGCTAATAAACAAACTCAGTACTAAGTCAGAGGATACATCAACACATAAAAATCAATTGTATTTTTATATATTACCAATGAAGAATCCAAAAAGGAAATTAAGAAAACAATTCCAGTTCTAATAACAATGAGAAGAAAATACTTAGGAATATATTTAATCAAGGAGGTGAAAGTCTTATACACTGAAAACTACAAAACATTAATGAAAGAAATTCAAGAATACTGAAATAAACAGGAAGACTTAATCTGTGAACAGTCTACAAAGTGACCTACAGATTCAATGTAATCTGTATCAAAATCCCAATGGCCTTTTTTTATAGGAATAGAAAAGCTGATATTAAAATTCATATAGAATACAGGGGATGCTAAATAGTCAAAAAAGTATTTTAAAAGAACAAAGTTGGAGGACTCACATTTCCTGATTTCCAAATGTACTACAAAACTACAGTAATCAAAAAACTGTCCTTTTGCTATGGGCATAAGGATAGATATTGGATCAACAGAATAGAATTAAGAGTCTAGAAATAAATCCATACATCTATAGTCAATTGATTTTTTTTACAAGAGTACCAAGACTATTCAATGGGGAAGGAATGGTTTCTTCACCAAAAGGTGCTGAACAACTGGCTATCTAAACGCAAAAGAAAAAAACTGGACCCTTGTCTCGTACATATACAAAAATTAACTCAACATATATCAAAAACCTAAATATAAGAGTTAACAAAGCAGTACAAGAAAAAGTAGATAATCAGACTTCAACAAAAATAAAAACTTTTGTACATTAAAGGATACCATCAAGAGAGTGAAAGATAACCATCCCAGCACTTTGGGAGGCCGAGGCGGGTGGATCACGAGGTCAAGAGATCGAGAACATCCTGGTCAACATGGTGAAACCCCGTCTCTACCAAAAATACAAAAAATTAGCTGGGCATGGTGGTGCGTGCCTGTAATCCCAGCTACTCAGGAGGCTGAGGCAGCAGAATTGCCTGAACCCAGGAGGCGGAGGTTGCGGTGAGCCGAGATCGCGCCATTAGGCCGGGCGCGGTGGCTCAAGCCTGTAATCCCAGCACTTTGGGAGGCCGAGGCGGGTGGATCACGAGGTCAAGAGATCGAGACCATCCTGGTCAACATGGTGAAACCCCGTCTCTACCAAAAATACAAAAAATCAGCTGGGCATGGTGGCGCGTGCCTGTAATCCCAGCTACTCAGGAGGCTGAGGCAGGAGAAGTGCCTGAACCCAGGAGGCGGAGGTTGCGGTGAGCTGAGATCACACCATTGCACTCCAGCCTGGGTAACAAGAGCAAAACTCCGTCTCAAAAGAAAAAAAAAAAAGACATAGCATCCAGAATATATAAATAATTTTTATTTTATTTTATAGAGATCGGGGTGGGGGGTCTCACTATGTTGCTCAGGCTGGTCTTGAATTCCTGGCCTCAAGTGATCTTCCTGCCTTGGCCTCCCTAAGTGATGGGATTATAGGCTTGAGCCACCATGCCCAGCCATACATATAAAGAATTCTTACAACTCAACAACACAAACAACCCAATTAAAAAACAGGCAAAGGACTTGAACAGGCACTTCTCCAAAGAAGATATACAGATGGCCAGCAAGCACACGAAAAGATTCTCAATACCACTAGCCATTAAGCAAATGCAAATTAAGACCACAATAAGATACCACTTTATACTCACCAGGATGGCTACCATCAAAAAATTGGAAAACAAGCGTTGGTAAGCATGTAGACAAATCCTAACCCTCACATTGTGCTGGTGGAAACGTAAATGGTGTGGCTGCTTTAGAAAAGAGTTTGGCAGTTCTTCAAAAAGTTAGACGTAGAATTACCATATGCCCCAGAGAAATTGAAACAGGAACTCATATGAATACTTTATATGAATGTCCACAGCAGCACTATTCACAACAGCCAAAAGGTAGAAACCAATGTCCATCAACCAATGAATGGATAAGCAAAATGCAGTATAGCCATAAAATGGAATATGAACCTTGAAACATTATGCTAAGTGAAAGAAACCAGACACAAAGGCCATATCTTCTATGGTTCCATTTATATGAAATATCTAGCATAATCAAATCTATATTGACAGAAAGCAGATTTGTGGTTGCAAGGGGCAAGGGGGAAGGAAGAATGAACAGTGACTGCTTAATGGCTATGAAGTTTCTTTTTTTGGGGTGATGAAAAAGTTCTGGAACCAGATAATGATGATGGATACACGACCTTGTGAATATATTTAATGTCACTGGATTGAACACTGTAAAATAGTTAAAATTCGAAGGAATCACAAGAAAAGACAAGCTTCCATATTTATAAAGCACAAAGAATATGAAATAAGATGAATAAACAATAAAGAAAATATACCAAAAGCATCTATGTAGCCCTTTAAGGAGGTACTATTATCTCGATTTTACAGAGGAGGAAACTAAGGCTGGGTAAAGGGTGTAGATAATTTGCCTAGTATTACACAGAAAATAGCAAAGCAAGATTTTGAAACTGGTTTGTGGGGTTCAAAAGCTGTTTTCTTTCTAACGTGTTTCAGTAAGAATTTTTTCATTTAAAAAAATGTTACAAGTAATACATTGTGAAAGGAAAACAAAACCTCAGGACCCTAATTCATCATGCCAAAAAGAAAAAAAATTAAGCTGAAAGCTCTCATGCAAGAAACTGCATTTCATTTTGTTCCTAAGCAGACAACTACAAATGAAAGGTTAACTACCTCCAGAGATAGCTACCCTATGTTCACCTTATCTTATGTAAAGTGCTGATTAACTGAGCAAAATTGTGAGATGAACACATAATTGACTATTCTCCTACCTGCTCCTTTTCTCTTGCAACATGTAGATTACCATAACTCCCTCTTTTCCCTCCAGCTTGCTTTTCCCCTTTAAATATTTAAGCCCTCAAAATCATCTCTGGAGAAAGGCACAGACCACAGACTGTATCTGTGATTACATGTTTCCTCACTTCTAGGCATGTCCCTAACCTTGGCAAAATAAACTTCTAAATTGATTGAGACCTGCCTTAGATACTTTTTGGTTTATAACATGAATAACTGTTTTCTGTAAAAGATCTAAACCATTACATAAAACAAAAATCTCTGTAACAATCCTCCTTCCCAGTCCCCCTAGAAGGTATCTGCTAATATCAGTTTATCTTTTCAGAACTTTTTTGTACATATGTGTGTGTGTGTGCATGTGTGTGTGTGTGTGTGTGTTCCTTTTCAAAAATACAGGAGGCCAGGTGTGGTGGCTCATGTCTGTAATCCCACTGCTTTGGGAGACCAAGGCAGGAGCATCGCTTGAAGCCAGGAGTTCAAAACCAGCCTGGGCAACATTGCAAGACCATGTCTCTACAAAAAATTAAAAAATAAGCCAAGCATGGTAGCACATACTCAGCTACTTGGGAGGCTGAGGCAAGGGGATGATTACCTAAGCTCGGGAGGTTGAGGCTACAGTGAGCCATGACCGTGCTACTGCACTCCAGCCTGGGTAACGGAGTGAGACCCTGTCTCAAACACACACACACCTCATCATACTGTCTGAATTATTCTGCGTATATTTTTCCCGATGATTTTTCTTGGAGATATGTCCATGCTAAAATAAAGATGATAATAGCTAACATATATTTATAGGTCTACTTCATGCTTTCAAATTGCTTCACAGTATCAATGTCCCTAAATTTCTATTTACAAATATTTAAACTTGTTTGTGAATCTTTTCTTAACTTTTTTTTTTTTTTTTTGAGATGAAGTTTTGCTCTTGTTGCCTAGGCTGGAGTGCAATGGCCCAAAGTCGGCTCACCGCAACGTCCACCTCCCGGGTTCAAGGGATTCTCCTGCCTCAGCCTCCTGAGTAGCTGAGATTACAGGTGCCCACCACCACACCTGGCTAATTTTTTGTATTTTTAGTAGAGCGGAGGTTTCACCTTTTTGGTCAGGCTGGTCTCAAACTCCTGACCTCAGGTGATCCACCTGCCTCAGCCTGCCAAAGTGTTGAGATTACAGGTGTGAGCCACCACGCCTGGCCATGAATCCTTTCCTGTTACATATAATCAAACAATGTTACACTGAACATTCTTAGACATGTTCTTTTGTTCATATATGCAAATGCTTCTCTCAGGTAGAATTTGACAGTGACATAGCTCAGTCACAGGAATGTATACATTTCTAACTTTCAGTGCTAAATTGCTCTCCAAGTAGGCTGCACTGATTTTATTCTTACCAATACAAAATGAAAATTATCACATCTGGCCATCAATTTCTTTAATACTTGCTAGTGTGATTAGCAAAAAGCATTTTTCTCATTAAAATTTTGCCTTTTTCTCATTACTAAGAAAGTTGAAAATCTTTTCACATGTTTAGCAGGCATTTCTATTTCTACTTTTGTGAAATGCACGTTCAGATGGTTTGGCTATTCTTCCACTGAGTTGTCTGATCTTTTCTCAATGATTTGTAAGCATTCTTTATATATTTTAGAGTTAATATTTTGTCAGTTTTCTGAGAAAAAAGATTGGAAGAAAACTATATGCAAAAATAGGTTGCTATGAAAATGGAGCCAAGAATAAGAAAGATTTAAAAAATCAAATTCATGACTGCCAAATGAAAAATTAACTGGATACAGCTGAATACCAAGAGAATGATCTGAAATTTAAAAAGAAAAAAAAGCTGAAGACATATCTGAGAACATAAGGTTTTACAAAATAAAATTAAAAGTGAGAGCAAGCTGTTAAGAAACATGGGGGATAATCCAAGAGGCCATGTATCTCCTACAGTTTCTAAATGCAAATAAGCAAGACAATGAAGGGGAAGAAAAAAAGAAACAAAAATAAAGTTTACTGGAGCTGAAAAAAAGACACAAATCTTCAAATTCGAAGCATCCACAAAAGTGATATACAAAATGAATGGGAAAGTGATATACCTAGAAATAGTCTGATAATGAGAACTCCAAGATAGTTTCCTAAAAGCAACTAGACTTGTGCGAACTGAATACAGTAGCTACTAATTACATGTGGCTGTCTAAATTTAAATTAATTTAAATTAAATTAAAAATTCAGGTCCTCAGTCGCACTAGCCACATTTCAAGTGCTCAGTAGTCATATTTGCTTAGTAGTTACTATATTGGATCGTGCAGATATAGAACATTTCCACATTGTAGACAGTACTAGAGCATTGCAGTGGTCTAGAGTAAATACAGGTTACCTACGAACGAATAATAAACAACTGACATCACTCTCATCAGCAATACCTAAAGCTAACAAAAGACAATAAAACAATGTCTTCCAAATTGAGAGGAAAAAATTCTGATCCTACCATCTGTACTCAGTCAATCAAGTGTGAAGCAATATAAAGACATGTTTGGACATGCAAAAGAATATCAAATAGGATACTCATGTAACATATTTGAAAATATTACTCATAGATGTATTTTAGGGGAAAAAAGAAGAATTCCAGGACACCAGAAACAGTGGCAGTTAAGTATGATCCAGATGTAGCAATAGACACTTGAAACAGATATAAGAATCCATTTGACCTTGACACTTGAGAGTCTCCTTTGAGCAATAGAGTTTAAATGACAGAAATAATAGTTCATTTCTTAAGATTTGAATCATATTAAGTGATCATATTTATTTATTTAAAATAATTAAAACTTAAAAAAATATTTAAATTCTATCAGTAGAATATTAAACAGCTGTTTCAACAAGTTATGTAAGATGGAACTATGTGTACTGACATGGACAGATGTCCATAAATGAAAAAATGCAGAATAGCATATATATGTAAAGAAGTGTATGCAAATTAATATTAACATGTATCTATATCTATATAAAGATACAAAATATCATATATAAGAAGTATGTCTTTATAAATATTTATATATTAAAATCATGTCTGGAAAGAGTTGGTAACAGCTGTGTGTATACGTTTGGTGATGGGGTGGATTTTACTTTATGTACAAGTATATATTATTACTTATATAATAATGACAAAAACATACAATGACAAAGATTTAAAAAGAGGTCCATGATATACTGTAAAGTGAAAAAATTAAGTTGCAGACCAATATGTATATAGCACAGTGTTTTTGTGAATGTTATATGTATGTAAATAGATCTGTACAAGCTTAAGAAAAGTCCAGAAGGATAAGCACCGAATTATTAGTGGTTACTTCTGTGATTTAAAGGGGCAGAAAAGGAAAATTAAAGTTCCTACATTATATAACTCAAAAAATAAGTCAGGCCGGGCACAGTGGCTCACGCCTATAATCCCAGCACTTTGGGAGGCTGAGGTGTAGGCCAAGGCGGGATCAAAAGGTCAACAGTTTGAGACCAGCATGGCCGATATAGTGAAACCCCGTCTATAATAAGAATACAAAAAATTAGCTGGGTATGGTGGCGCATGCCGATAATCCCAGCTACTTGGGAGGCTGAGGCAGGAGAATTGCTTGAACCTGGGAGGTGGAGGTTACAGTGAGCTGAGATTGCACCACTGCACTCCAGCCTGAGCGACAGAGCAAGACTCGGTCTTGGGGAGGAAAAAAGTCATGAGATTAATGATGATTTTTACTTTCTTTTTTGTTTTTTCAAATTAAATCCCCCCAAACATGGTTAAATTAAAAACCATAACTTTTTTTTTAAAGAAGGAAACTGATAACCAGCATTTTAAATGAAAATCTAAAAGTTCTTCCTACCCACTAAAACAACCCATGAGTCAGTTTTCATT